TAGTTTCAATATATTTTATAAGGTGCACACATATTTAGAATTGCTAAATAATCCTGGTTAATTTATCTTTCTATTATTTTGTAGTGACTTTTTCTATCTCTAAAAAAATGGTCTTTGTCCCCAAATCTATTTTGTCTGAAATTAATAACTACTACTTTGTTTTGAATTTTTTCCTTGTTTTTTTTTTTTTGCAACATTTTTCTTTCAATTCTTGTCTGTTGTAACAAAATATATATTGATTTTTAGCAGTTGCATTGATCTGTCTTTTACCTGGCAACTTTTAATGTCTATTTAAATTACGTTTTCTCCATCTCAGCACTAGTGGCCATTTGAGTAGGATAACTCTTTGCAGAGAGGGGGTGAACTGTGCATGTAGAATGTTGGCAGCATCCCTGGCCTCCACCCACCAGACATGAATAATACCCCCCAGTTGTGACAGCCAAAAATACCTCCAGATATTGCCAGACATCTTCTAGAGGACAGAATTGTCCCTGATTGAGAAGCACTAATTTTATAGTATTGACAGTTTAATTTTGATGCCACTTTTGTTTTATTATTTCAATTTATCTTAGTGTTTCCATATTTTTATATATCTTTCTTCCTTTCCCTCCTTCCTTTCTTCCTTTCTCCCTTTCTTCTTCTTTTTTCTAGATAAGCTCTTTTGATACCCTCTAGAAATTCAACACACTATGGTACTTATTCCCTTTCACTTTACGTGTCTTCAACACTTCCCAAATTTGTGACCTTTATTATAGAAGGTCTTCCTTCAAAATGTTTTCAATGTGCTTCTTTTGTGTGGAAAACTTCCTGGATCTTCAATGCCTGAGATTATCTTATCATGTTCTCACTTTTAAAGACAGTTTAGCTGAGTGTAAAACTCCAGTTTCTAAGTTATTTCCTTGTATTCCTGTGTCCAGTATTGCTCTTTAAAAATGCAGTGCCCAAACCACCCACTGAGCACTATCTCTACCACTGGGTGGGGAGGACTTGTCAGAAGTCCAAACCTTGCCTTCACGTAATATACTTATATAGCAAATCCTCACATGCACTCCACAATTCTAAAATTTTAAAAATTCTTTAAAAAAGTGGTGCCAATTGGATACTTGTTTCTTTATCTGTGATTTGTTCTTTCTCTCTTGAAACTTTGATGTTTTAAGATTTAACCATAATTTCTCTAGCAATGTTTTTGAAACTATATCCATTTTACATTGTAGGGGATCTTTCAATATAAGGTCTTTCTTAATTTTTAATCTTAAAAAATTTATCTCTGCTATTTCTTTAAATATTTTCTAGGACTTCTGTTATCTGGATATTCTTTTGTCCTTTATTTCTCTCAACTTTTCTTTTGTATTTTCCAATCTTTATTCTTTCTGCTTCTTTCTTAGAGAGTTCTTCAACTTTTTCTTTTCCTTTACCAAATTGTCCTTTAGCTATATTTACTCTATTATTTATCCCACTTATTTTGTTCTTTACTTCAAGTATTAAATATTTCATACTGCTATGATTTGAATGTGTCCCCTCCAAAATCCAAGTGTCAAAACTTAATAGCCAATGGGATGATATTAAGAAGTGAGGCCTCTAAGGATGATTATTAGGTCATGAGGACTCCTCAATAACATATATTTCAGAATAGCTAGAAGAGAGGATTTTGAATGCTTTCACCACAATTAAATGATAAATGCAGTTATGGATATGCTAGTTACCTTAACTTGAATATTATATAATATATACATGTATTGAAACATCACACTGTACCATATAAACCTGCATTATGTGACAAAAACAAACAAAAAAGCCTCCTCCTTAATGAAGTTTTCCTTGGCTAGCTTTTCTAATTAAAAAAAAAAGAAAAGAAAAAGAAAGGAAGAAAGAAAAAAGAGAAAGAGAAGAAAAAAGAAACAACACTTGAAACTTCATATTTCCCCTTTTTTCCCCTCTGTGGTACTTAACAAGAACACCTTGTATTAATATAGCCCACCGACATCTTGTTTATTGACTTTCTGTACAACAGCAGTGATTTTATGTGCTTTGTTCACTGCAGTGTTCCCTTCTAGAGCATAACAAGTAGATAAATAATACTGGTTGAATGTGGGACAAGGAAAGGAGTCAAGACCATTTCCAAAGTTTGGGAATATGGCTTGACCAGGAGACCGGGGCTGTAAGAGATGCCCTTAACCTTGGAGAAGATACACAGTGGGCCCATGGAAATGTAGGCTTATTGTTCATATACTAGCTAGAGGCAGGGGCATAAAAAAATGCAGCATTTTTCTGAAAGAAAAGAAATAAATCATGTTCACTATAGAAATGGCTGGGATTATATCAAAGTAGAAATAAATAAGGATATTATCTATACTCACATAACCTGGATTGATATTTTGGTGCATTTTTTTTTTAGTTTTATTGCATAAGTGTGTATGTATACAATATAATTGCATTCACAAACATTTTTCCATATTATAACAACTCTTATTCAAAAACATTTTACCCATGGTATAACATTCTTTTGTAAGAATTCATTTCAGTTTAAAATGCCCTTGTACTTCACTCTCTCTGCACATCTCTAATGGTGCCTTGAGGATTCATTTCTGCAGTGGCCTGACTGGTCGAAGGACTTAGATAAGATCAGAATCATCCCCCTGGACAAGCTGCCACAGCAGAGATCCTAAAATCTCATTATGACACCATCATTAACACCTGTGATTGTTTTTTTTCCCTAAACTGTGTCAATTTGATAACCAAATTGACCTAGGAAGCTTTTGTAGCATCGGCACTGCCATGATTCCTAGGGAGTTGAGTGCGCTAGCATGTTCATTTCTGTGTGTCTGTGCAGGTGTACTTTTGACCTTTGGTGCTGGTGGAGGCTAAAGCCTGAGAGGGCAGCAGTTAGCTGGAGGAGATGGCAGATGGTCTGAAGGAGCCCTACGAGTCTAGCTGGGAGGCGAGAGAAGAGCCAGGAGGCTGCAACTTTAAGGTGTTCGCTGGAATGGCAGAAGAGCATTTAGAAGAAAGAGATGGTCAGGTTTGGTGGCTTGGCTTGTAATCTCAGCACTTTGGGAGGATGAGGTGAGTGGATTGCCTGAACTCGTGGGTTTGACACCAGCCTGGACAACTTGGCAAGACCGTATCTCTACAATAAACAAACAAAAAAATATCTGGGCATGGTAGCGTGTGCCTGTAGTTCCAGCTACTTGGAAGGCTGAGGCGGAAGGATCACCTGAGCCCAGCAGGTCAACGCTGGGGTGGCTGTGAGCATGCCACTGCCCTCCAGCCTGGGTGACAGAGTGACTCAACTCAAACAAAAGGAAGAGGTGATGGAAAGTATTATATTAGGGTTCTCCAGACAAACAGATCCAATAGGTTATACCTATCTACCTCTCAAGTAAGATGTATTATGAAAAATGGGCTCAGTAATGATGAAAACTGAGAATTCCCACCCTCAGGAGTCTGCAAGTTGGAGACTCAAGGACAGCTGGTTGTGTAACTCAGCCTAAGCTCCAAAATCTGAGAATTAGGGAAATGGTGAAGTAAGTCCCAATTCAAGGGTAAGAGAGAATGAGATGCCCCAGGCAGGCAGGAAAACAGGTGTGATCCCTTCTTCCTCTGTCTTTTGTTCTCCTTAGACCCTCAGTGGATTAGATGATGTTCATCCACATTGGGAAGCACAACCTCATTTATTGAGTCCACTGATCCAAATGTTAATCTCTTCTGGAAACACCCTCTCAGACACACCCAGAAATAACGTTATATCTGGGCACCCCATGGCCCAGTCAAGTTGACACACAGAATTAACCATCCTGAGTGTGGAAAGAAGCAGAAGTTATAGGTTATCGAGTCAGGACAAGGAAGGGCATGTAAGCTGGTGGCTTCTGGGAAGACAAACACAGTGGGCTTATAAAACAAACATCATCATGTGGCTCACACCTCTTCAGCAGCTCCCAAGGGCCTGACAAGCCCTGGTCCTGGAACACTCAGGATTCCACTCCATGTCCTTTACCTGTGGCCCTTCTGCCACTCACCATGGAGACTTGACCATATCCAGACACCTGGCCTGGCTGCCTCCGTGCTCCAGGACACTGCCCCAGCAGTCCCCCTGGCCTCCTCATGCCTGTTCCCAATGAACTTGCTCTGTTCACTGTCTCCCTCCATCCATGTGGCTTTACCAGCACAGCACTCCCAAGGGGTCTGTCTGTGCTCTCATTTTTCCTGGTTTCTCATGTGATCAGCCTGACGACATCCCACACACCTAGTCCTCTCAGCACTCACAGAACCAACTTGCTGCTCACTGCACACAATACTCTGAGGCAAGGGTGTACATTTGGATATTTCAACAAGTGAGCAGTTATGGGTCTAACAGAAGGTAATTTTCTGACATGCAGTTTATTTTGGGAAGCCCTAAGACCACAGGCTCAGTAGTTTGCCTGCAGAGGTTCTGAAAAGTGACTATTGTCCCAAGGATGCAGAGAGAGGACTGAGAATCTCAGAACCCCACCCAGCACCTCCCAGGGTGTCCTTCTTCCTCCTGCCTCTGTCCACTTCCCTTCTCACATGAGGAGTGGCAGAAGGGCCACAGGTAAAGGACATGGAGTGGAATCCTGAGTGTTCCCTCCCTTGCCCTTCTTGGCTGTGGAAGGTTGGTGTGAGTAGTGTTGGATGAGACGGCACAGGACACAACCCCCCAAAAAGGCAAGGGCCACGGTCATGGAGATGCATGTACTGACCGGCTCAAATCTGCCTGCACACTGTGATGGAAACAAAGCCAACAACACAACCTCCTAGGACTGGAGGATCTTGCAGACATGACCCAACACCTCCATAGGATGCCACCAAAGGCCGCAGAAACTATCTCACCAGGATTCTTTTGCTAGAGATGGAAGCAGAGAAACATATTTGTGTTTACAAAGTTTTCGATTATGCCCAGAGTATTCTACCCCTTTCAAGGTTATTTCATTAGTGACACGAAACCCAGAGGCAATCAATAACAAGAGGAAAGAGGTTTTTTTATGGTAAAAACTTTATTTACTATTTATAAATACATTGCAAGACAAACTTTTCAAAAAATATTTTTTCCCCAAAAACTTAATTAAAAAAATAAAGAAAAGCTAATAGGTAGGCAGAATGTCTCGAGACCCCTTTGTGTTCTCAAGGAGAGCTCTGGGCAGTGTGTGTCCACACTGAGGGCCACAGCAGGGCAGGGGAGAGACTCCTTGCACCTGACTTTGCCAGACCTCCTTGGGTTTGGCCTCCAGGAGAGAAGCTCAGGCTCTGGGCACAAGCTCTTTCCTCGGTCATGGCCATAGTTCTATCATCTAGCATCTCTACCATTTCATCTAGGATTATCTAGTATAGTTCTTATTATATTTGGGCTATGTTGCATACAATGTTAACAATTAATTAAGAACATATCTTCTCTGCATATATGCGTGAATTATAAAGAAAAGTATGAGAATGACTCCAAGTTCAACAAACATGGGTGACTCTATGTGCTCCCAGTGTCCTCAGTGGGCCTCCCCAGCAAGCCACTCATCTTTCCTGTTTAGATATTATTATTCTTTTTTACACTGAGCCAAGGAGGACACAAGGTGAGAGATGAAAATAAACGTTCGTCTTTAAAGAGCTTATCCTCAGAAATAAACTTTGTCTTGAGTTGTTGAACTACAAAACTATTTTCCGCAGTCATCCGAAGAATCGTGTCATTGTTTGTAATGCCTCTGAATACAGAGGCCGACTTTCCTTGTCCCCATCCCTCCTGCCCTGTGGGACCACATCAAAGGCCACTTTGGGCCTTCAACTGGGCCACATTTTCAGGAAGCTGACTGACAAAGGAGGGTCAGAAATACCTGCCTTTATAGGTTCCCAGAGTGCCCTAGAACATTCTTGGTCATTTTTTTTTTTTTACAAGTAAGACTTCACCTTATTCTCTCCAAGAGTCCCCAAGCAGTACAGGTCACTTCAAGATATGAACAATCTTCTTGGTCGAGGGACCTGGGCCTTTGCTTCAAAGATGGTACCATGAAGGCCATGAGCTCCAGGAACGTGTCAGGATGTCCAGATGAGTGGAGGTGAAGGGTTTTCCTATTCTTGATACGGCCTGTGCTCATCTTACAGAGTGAGAAGGAAGTATGTACTCTACATAGGCAGCACAGCTGCCTAAGTCATGAAGTCAGAGGGGCAGCTGCTTTGGCGAACACACGGTGAGGATTCCACAAGGGGAGAAGTCTGGGCACTGTGCTCGAGCTTATGTATGTTTTTATAGGAAGCAACAAGAAAATTCAAACAGTTTTTTGCTGACTACTGGAAAAAGTGAAAAGATGCTCAAGTTTACCATTTGAAGGAACCGTAGGCATTTCAAAAACCTCTTTCTAAACTTTGGTTTAAAAAAAAAGTCAGTTCACCACAAAAAGAAATACAAATCGAGGCTTTAGCCAGCTGCTGGTCATGTCCTTGGCAGTCTTTTGTGCAAAATAAGGCGTATTTGAGCTCCACATGAACTAAGACAAAGAGAAAAATAAATATATTGAAATAACCCCTCCAAGGCTCAAAAGGGCTCAACTCTTGCCTGAGATACACAGACATAGCTCCAGGTAAATGGTGTGGGTCTTTAAGAGGCCAGTTGGGTTTCAATCTACATTTTTGAACAAAGCAAAGCATGCTGCATGACGCTCACTGTGCTCACTGTCAGAAAGAGTTTCCCTAAAATTAGAAATTTTTTTTTCTAACTTGTAAGGAAATTCATAACTAAAAACGAAAATCTCTTCTGCCTACCAAATTTGTCTTGAGAATATAAAAGAAAATATATTTATTCTTTTCTCCCCATAGCTCTCTCAGCTATTAGAGGAAAAAAGAACATTTGAACACGATAACCTTCTTCAAAATGATCACTTAAAAGTTAACTGCTGTATTAGATTTAAATAAATATTATCAAAATTATATTGGCCACAGACTAGCAGAATATCCACAATATATTTCACAGGAGAAAAAGACCACATGCTTAGCCTAATGCTCTTCCAACTGGCCTGTCTCATATTCACATCTTTAATTTAACCTAGACAGTGTATCTTTAACTAGCTCTCTGGATTAGAACAGTTTCCCCGTGAAGATAAATCAACTATCAGACCTACAAGGGTAAGGCTTAACTTTGAAAATCTTCAATTTGTGTGTATATGAAAGATGAGGTGTTGTAAGTTCTTTGAAACAAAGCAGAGTGTCTCTGAGACCACTCTGGTCCTGATCCCTTTTTTTGTGCTTATCTGGCTGGGTAGGTGGGGCCACCCTCTCCCTGCACCCTTCTAAGGGATCCATCCTGTTCGCTTTCCTCACTCTGGGCCTGGCTGTTGCTCCTGGGTCAGCGAGCCTGGGGAAGGACCAGTGGCCATGCCCAGTCCCCAACTGGTCCTCAGTCTTCAGAGCCCGACACAGTCTTCCTCCCCTTCCCCCTCCCCTTGCCCAGAGGACTTACATCAGACAGCCGCTGTCTACTTGCTTTGCAGGCTGTAGCAGTGCACATCCTCCTTGCCCTTGGCATCATAGCCTGGGAGAGGCTGCCCGTACTTATCCACACACCAGCAGAAGCCCCGCTTTCTGCCTTTTGAAGGGCGGCACTGTGGGACAGAGATAAGACTGAGAGGTGAGCACCCCCCCGGGTCTGGTGTCAGGTTGGTCCCCTGGGCCCAGGATGGTTTCTGCAGCACAGCTCTGCTAAGCCGAGAAGACACAATAGAAATGTCAACCAAGCCAGCATAAGAACCACACATCCCTAGGCAGCAGTGGGTGCATCTGTGTGGACGCCTGTGCAGGTATAACTTCTTCAGAAAAGCTAGGGTGAGGGCAGTTGTGTGCCCCTAGGAGTCTAAGGTGGACACCAGACCATGTAGCCCCTGTTGGGCTAGCAGACTTATCTGCCGAAGGAGGGAATGAGAATGTTCCATCTGCCCTGGAATGTCATGGCTGTGCCTTTGGAGTCAATATGCAGCCTTTCACAGGGCATCTTCTCAGTATGAATCTGCTGAATGAATGACTGATAGAAAATGTTGGTGTGAATAAGAGGCCAAAGAGTACAATGGCTACGGAGTAAGATGGGCTCTTGGACGGTGGCCACTACTACGGACATCAGAACAGGTCATGGGTTGCTGACTTGGCTCTTCTAAAGTTAACTCTACAGATAACATGGTATGGATTGTCCGATTAGAAAGAAAGCCAGTTGAAATACCACCATCCTATCACACAGTCTATAGAGGCAGACTTACTACGGCTTGGCAGAACTGCATCTGAAATCTGTTTGATCCTTTCCAGCTTGTCACTATCAGGAAGGCATCTGTGTGGGATCTCAGGGTAAGTGACCTCGTGTCCCTTTTGGAAACTCACTGCAATGGTTATTTGAAGTGCCACTCCATAATGCAGCACTGACAAAGGTGTCAATGCATCTCCTTATCGTTTAAAAAATGGGCAGCACGTCCTCTGCTCTGGTGGCAAGCAGCGGAAGTGGCAGGAGTGAGAAACGGGCAGTAGACAGGCTCCAGGGCTGAGGATCTGGGCTAATCCAGCATCACTTGGAGCAACAGTCAAAGCAGCCCTTGGTCCAATCTCCTGAGACTGGCACCGAGTCCCAGGTACCTGTGTTCTGTGGACTCTGAGTTACAGCTGCAGCCAGAAGAGCCTGGGAGTTGGCAGGGTTGGTTTCTGCTCTGTGTCAACAGAGCTGGAGAGAAAGAAAATACACCAAGGCTCTCACTCACCTGCTTTTTCTTATAAAATCCCTTCTTGTCGCAGTTGGGGATGTGGACACCCCTGGGGCTCAGCACATTGAGGAACTTCAGGTGATTCAGAGTGTCCTCCATTTCTCTACGGCAAGGACCCTGGGGATCAAGAAGCACCGGAACAATCAAGTCATGATCATTACTCTGAAAAGCACGTGTCTGAAATTCTTACAATGCCACACAACTACCACAAATGAGACCTGTAATGTGCTTCTCAAATATGTTTTGCCTGATTTACCAAGAAAGTCACACAAAGATGCTTCGAACCATTGCTCCCTCTCTTTTGCTCTCTTCAGAGTAAGACACAGAGGCTAATATAAAGCCAATAGTAGGCTGATAAATGTAGAAGGTCAAGTGAATAAAATAAAGCTATCTCCATGAGAATGTTTCCTTCCATTTATGACATCTATACACTTTTAAAGTTATCTTAGCTTGGCCCTCACAAGATTCTCCAAGACAGGAAAGGATCAGTGTTCTTTATGCAAGAAAGAGATAGGAGAGAGCTGGGGTATAGATGGCCTTGTGGCCGCCTACCCACAAGCCACAATCACTGGGACTTGTGTAAAGATTGTCCCGGAGGGGCTCTGAGTGCCCAGGCTTGGCGGGTCCCACCCTTCTCCCTTAACAAGAGGAAAAGTTCTCACGTATTCCGTCTCCCTCTTGGACTCAGAGGAGAAGTTCTGGGTGTCTGTGCTCTGAGACTCGTAGTCGACTTTGTAGCGCTGGCTGTCCTTGGCATGCCCTTTCTTGATGATGTCCATCTTGGCATGGGAGGGGTGAAACTTGGAGTCAGGCACCCGGTGTGTGCTAGGGACAGCTGGGCTCTCCACGCTACTCGTGCCACGGTCTTCCTCCGACTCGCTGGTGTTTCCTTGGAAAGTGCAGAGCGACAAAGACATGAGCATCATCGACATCTGACAATGGTCTTTTCAAAATCCTAATGCTGCAACCAGGAAACATCTAAACGACAACATGAGCCAACAATTCCAAATGTGTGTGTGTGTGTGTGTGTGTAAAAACAGCTGGATACGTGATGTCTCAAGGTATCCAGCAGGGCGTGTACAACTACTTGCTATCTGGCGGTTGCTTTGCCCCAAGAAGTCATCTCGCTCAAAGTCATTCTGACACGGGCGGGCTTTTTCTGAGTAGCTGCAACTCAAGACAGGAAAATGCTTGCAAAGCGCCCCTTAGTAGATGGTGAAGGCAGCGCGATTTCACCTTCCACCGGCAGGGGGCAAACCTGAGCCACAGGAGGCAGCCGCGCGGAGCAGGCTCAGAAAGATCGCGGGCGACTCCAAGGGTGGTCCTCCCATCTGTGGGAGCAGCGGCAGCCCCGGGGACTTGGAAGAAGTACACGTCCTCCACCCAAGAAGCGCTGGAGTGGCGGCAATCTGGGTTTTTGCAAACCCTCCAGGGAATTCTGACATTAACTCAAGGGTGATCAGCAGTATCCTCCATGCCACCAGGTAAACAGGCTACGTGTGAATCTGTGTCCAGCTGAGATGGGGAAAGTGAATTTCTTCTCCACAAAGTGTCTTTTCCCAGAGACCCAGAATTACGCTTGTTTTCTGGGTCCCCTGTTACATTCTAAACCCGAGGTCCACAAAGACCCTGTGCATACTAGGTACCTTTCTGGCTGAGTCCTCACTCCCAGTGAGCACTAGAGCACATGGGCACAGACTTCCCCTCCCAGCTCAGACTTCTAAGTGACAGAGAGCTTTCATTCCCAGGGGGGCCCGGGGAAGGAGAAAGCCCTCTCCGAAAGACCTCCCCTTACAACAGAAAGGGCTAAATGAAGAGATGCTGATACTTGAAATAGACACTGGAATGCTGCCAGTTTAACTGGGATTTTAATGGTACGACTAAATTTGTGGCTGAATATGTAGCCAGGATTCTCACTCCATTCCTTTTCCTGGATGCACTTGGAGCGGACTGTCGAACACCTGCCGGGATCAAAGGGCAACATTTAGAGTGGATGTGCCTAGCTCAGACCTCTGGAAGGGCTTCGGCTTAAGTTGGCAAGTGACAGTCTTGGAATTCCTTCACTCCAAAAAGCAGGGTCTTAACATCTTCTTCTAGTAGGGGACTCAGGTCACACATCTGACCCTGAATCTCTCAGAGGGAGGAATGATTTGGCTGCAGGTGCTCACTCTCTCACGGGGACCACAGTAATTCCTCTCTTCTCTGGATATCAGATTCCTAACCTGCCACTCAGCTCACTGAGGACTTGCTGTAAAGTTCCCCAAGGGTTTTTTTGATTTAGGGGCACAAATTCCCAGGGTCTACCCCAGAGCCCAAGAGTAGGTTTCTGGGTAGGATTTGGTTTCAATTTCTTTTAATCTGAGTTTTTGCGTGTGTGTTTCAAGGAAGTACTGAGACAAAGGAAATGCTAAGAATATGTAAATATTCTAGGAACATGTAAATAAACACATTTACATTTGTTTTGTAAGAACCCTGAGTAATTTCTTAAGCTTCCTTAGTTTCTTCTTAATGCCTGGGCATTATAAGTCTTCTTAGTGCAGACTAGGGCATGAAGAGAAACTTGTTCTGTTTAAGCAACAGATAATTGTGACTTTTGCCTATCATAAATCTGCCTTTTTTTCCCCCAAATGGATTTTAGAAGTCACTTAGATCTTTTTATAAGCTTATAATAACTCACATCAATCTATACTATAGTGCTACAATGGTGGTAATCACAGAATGACAGCGTAAGTATGTCTCGGAACACCCCAAGTTGGACAAGAATAATAATGTACATACTTGGCAAGTGACGTAACTTTGCCTTGAGAGACAAATACCTCCAGCAATGCTAACACTGATTAACTAGCCCAGCACAAGTGTATGTTTCTGGCCAATGGAATCTTGCCTTCCCATTAATACAGTGTTTCTCAGGGAAGAATAATGCCAGCCTTGCCTAACAAGGAAATAGCTTTACCCAGGTGTGGAACTCTACATTTATGTACATTATAAGGGACGGCCTATCCTGCTAGCCCTGGATGGAGGCTTGCCCAACGACATCTGTCCAAGCAGACGGTTGGGGAGGGAGGGGGAAAGAGTGGGAGGGAGATTCTCCCAGCCTTCAGCTGTGCAGGCTGGAACTTTTCTCACATTACTAAGTGAGGCTTGAGAGAGGAACAGCTGCCAAACCCATTTAGGCTTCTTTAAGGGAACGATGTAATGTCCTCCCTCACCAGAGTCCTAGCCCACCTGATAGTGGCTGGGCCAGAAGGAGTAACTCTGCCAAATACCTGCATTTTCCCTTTTCTAGGGGCTCCCTTTAATTGCATCTCATTCCTTCAGATTCAGCTCAGGAAGGGAAACAATCCTAGGACGGATTCCAACTTCCTTTCCCTTCGCTGAAATCCACTTGGTCCACGCTCTCCGACCCCAACGCACCCGGGATGGCATGGGGCGTACACAAGGGGTGGTATCCAAAGTGTCCCACAGGGTTCAAAGCCTACACTGTTGCTGCCTCTGCGTGACCTTCAGAAGTTACTTCAACACCGGAATCCACCTTAGAGGTTTTTTTTTTTGGACACACCGGGACGAGACACCGCTTTGCAGACCAAAAAACTGTGCAAATTTAGTATTTTCAAAGAAGATACTGCTTCCCACGCCTGGCTTGCCCACCTCCCCCGGGCCAATTCCGCCTTCCTGCGTCCCCACCCCCAAGGATTCCTGGGATTGACGCGTTCCCCCCTAGTTTGCGGGCATCGGCAACCACGTTCCAAAGTTGGGCTACACAGTCCACACCCACGTACACGCACTAGGCTGGGAGAATCTCCTGAGTCCACGATCTTTCCGTGGACAATGAGCCTCGGCACCGCTGCCCCCGCCCTGGGAACCTTTAACCCACTGCCGTGGCAGCGCTTTGCAATTTACAATCACGCTGTTCTCAGAGAACCCAGCAAGTAGAGGGGCCCTCCGGCCAGCGCCTTCGCCTTTCGGAGCCTCGGATCCCCCACGTTGCAACCCCCGGAACGAGCAGAAAACAGCGTCTCACGGCAGCGCCCCAACCCCGGGACCTTCGCGCCGGGTGCCGCGCGCGGCGCACCTGGCGCGGGCGGCTCACCTGGCGCGGGCGGCGCGGGCAGCAGGTAGTTGCGCAGACGGCCGACGGCACTGGCGTTGACGCAGAGCCCGCGGCCGTCCAGCAGCGCCTGCAGCGGGCGCGGCTCGCCGGGCGACGGCTGG